TGTACAAATTTGAGGTACTTGTAGTTTGCTTTAGTATTTTTCTTCTCATGCCACTTTCTGTTTTGACTCCACTACATTTCAGAGGGAAATACTGTACTTTTTACTGCACTACATTTATTTGACAGCTTTAGTTACTTTACAAACGGATTAGTCGATTGACAGAAAATGTATTGTCATTTTCATGCATAAACATGTCATGGTTCCAGCTTCATGAATGTGAGGCTGCTTTTCCTTTTTAAATAATTGTAATTTATTTAGAAATTTGGACTTTTGGTTGGAGAAAACAAACATTGTGTCACTTTGGTCTCTGGTGCTGGCATTTCTCAATCTTTTCTGAATTATTATAAACCAAACAATCAGTTGATTAATGGAGAAAATACTCAGCAGAGTTGTCCATAATGAAAGTAATCATTGGTTGCAGTCCGATACAAAATAAATCAAAAAGAGTTCCACCTCAACCAACTCAAACCAGTCCTGCTTTTATATTCATGCATGAGTAATAACAATATAATGATAGTGTACCAGTCACAGGCAACAGATTTCTGCATTGAGCACTTTTAATACTTTAAGTACACTTTACTTATTATACTTACATATTGTACTTAAGTAACATTTTCAGTGCAAGACTTTTACTTGTACAGAGTATTTTTACAGTGTGGAATTAGTAATATTACAAAGTGCATGATCTTAATACTTGTTCCATCAGTGGTTACCAGTTCCAGGGCTACCACCACTTCTTACCATGACATACTATTACTATTAAAGTAATATCTCATTTAACTAATATTTGCAAATCAAAGTTCTTTTGAATTTGTATTATTTATACATGATTTTACCTGCAAACTAGGCTTCTTGTAAACTCTTTAGTAAATCTGCTTTACATTCTTGCAACTTATTTTCTCAGGTCCAAGTAGAATCATCAGAGAGGAGATAAAAGCTACAGAGGTCTCACTCTGCCCCTTTAACCAGGAGCTAAATTGCCAGAATTAAAAGTCCACTGTTGAAATCAAAAGAATGTGATCCAAACATACATTGCAGCTGCAAGTGTGTCTTGTTTGCTTGCACCATGCAATTATAAGATGAAGGTGTTCCATTATACAATACAATACTCAGATAGGACATTAGTATAAATAAACTAACTCTCCCATTTGGGGATGAAAACTGAAAAAATCTGCCACCCTTTGTTTGATTTGATATCTGCCTCATGTACGCCAGAATGTCTTGTCAAATTACCTATTGGGGTTTTCAATGGTTGAATTTGTTTAGGTAAATAGCTGTTTGTTCATGTAACTTGGACACAAAAAGTGAAACAGGAAGAAGAGGAATGAGGGAGGAAATACATTCCTCATCATTTATTATGCCTCAAAAATACACATAATGCGTTTTGGTGAGCACCTGAAGGTAAACATAACTTTGTTTAAAACTCTAGTCTGCGGGATAGCTTTTAAAAAGTAGCCAATAATAAAATCTTATAAAGCAAAATGACGCTAATTAAAAATAAATATCCATATAGAAAAATAGAAAGAAAGTAAATAGAAATTCTCGTTATATTAGTATTTGTGAGTATCAGTTTTAGTATGTATTCAGAGCTTATACGTAAGTAAAAGTAGCAATACCACAACGTAAAAGTCTGTTATAAGTAAAAGTCCTGTATTCTGTAGCAGCCGGACACAGAAACAGCAGACTGCTGCTGAGTGCCACAGCAGAGGCTGATCATTGCTGACCCCTGTAAGAGAGTGTGTGTGAAAAAGAAGACCATGCAGGGAAGAGTGGCAGGACTAAGAAACAAGTGTTCTGATCTAAACTGAAAGCGAAGCGGGCCCAAATCCATGCTGATTCTGAAGTCAAAGTAAGATTTTAGTGGAGTGAAGTATCCCTAAACTGTATGTGGTTATTCCTTTTACCTTTGGGCTCCTCTGATGTTTGATTGGAACTTTATTACCTGGTGAAACTCTCTCACCTGCCAACCAAGAAATAATCTCCTGTTTCTCCTCATATTAGCCCTATAGTATAGAAAATGAGTCCATGTCCCCCCTCCCCACTTCAAGAACACAGAACTGCCTAAAAGTACTCCTCTGTTGAACTTTTCTCCCACCCTGGAGTCACCCTGATACATTCCCCATACACACTCACACCAACCGTTCAGTGACACTGTAACTTCCTCTTTGGACCTTTGATTAAATGACACTTATACAACAACTCTGTGGAGTAATGGGACATTGTGACTTTATTTTTTAAGTAAATATGTTTCTTTATTTAATGAAATGATGAAATGTTAATGAATGAACTACAGTGTGTACAGATGTGCTTTTGAGTTATAACTCTGTTTAGGGATTCGATTGATTTAATTTGTCCTTAAGTTTGGTTGTCTGGTGCCCAATTTTGTTAACTATACATATGGCCTTGAATTATACTACAGTTCAGAATCTTACCTCAGTAAAAGTATTAACATAAAAATAGTGTGCATTAGTGTGTTTGCACCAATGTTGTGAATCAGAGGCTGATTTTAATTAAATATGTTTTTTACTGTTGGGTAGCCTAATACATAATAATACATCGTAATGTATCAGTTAATTTATATTATGTATCAATAATCAAAAATCTGAATCTGCAAAGTACCTAATGTTGTCAAATCTAGTGCAGTAAAAAGGCTTGCATTATTAGTAGTGATAAAGTGTGTAAAATAATGTTAGTATAAAATGGAAATACTTAAAAACTTGGTTTATTTACGATTGTGGCTTTTGTTGACGTTTTGCCACGTGACGTCGTTACCGTGGCAACAGAAAAGCTGACATGGCTGACATGCAATGCGCTTGCGTAACTGAGAGAGGATTTACAGACGTTTCCCTTTTCTTTATCTTATCTCGTAATTACGAGATATGGCGCCAATTTTATTTTTTTATCCAGTGAATGCAATGCGCTTCCGTACCCTCGAGTAACAGTAGCATACCATCTTTCCTAAACCTGGATCCGTTTTCACCCACGGAGTGACTCCTCTTCCTCCATCAACGATCTTTGCTGACAACAGGAAAGCAGCACTGCAGCAGCTTCCGGTTCCCCCCCCACCCCCCTCAGTCAGCTGTCTCTGTTTGGAAACAGCTCCGTCCGCCGGGTCCCGGGTCCCTGGTCCCTGCTGCGTCCTCTGCCGCCCTGCAACTCCTCCACGATGGGGGAAAACGACGACAGCGAAATCATAGAGCACCACGTCGAGGAGGAGATGGAGAAGAAAGGCACAAGGAGCCACGCAGCCTCCTCCTCCTCGTTCCCGGAGAGCGTCACTCCGTCCGACAGAGAGGGCCACAGCGGCACCCAGTCCTCCCACAGACTGCTGGCCTACAGCGATGCTCTCATCTCCATCATCGCCACCGTCATGGTAAGACACCGAGCTTCACTCCCCGGGAACAGCCTGCTGCTGGCGGCGTTTAGACGCATGGCCGAGCGGCGGTGGGAGCGTCAATATAGCGTCACTTTATTATTATTATTTATATTCCCCGTTAAGTACATACCGTGGATACGTACTTTTCTACATGTCAGAGGAAAACATGAACTATCTCTCTCCCTACACTCATCTGACAGCTGTAGGTGTGGTTATTGTGCAGGATACACACAAACACACGTTATACACTCACCAAATACAACTCATTGCAATAGACACTCTCTCTAGCTCTACTTTAAGCGACTGCAACATTAAATAGTTGCTTTCTTACTAATGCATCAATGCAACTGATCCAGTAATCTCACTGTATAGTGGTTCTCAACCTGGGGTCCGGCGGCCCTATGGGTTCTTCAGGAGGTTCCAGGGGGGTCCCCAAGTATATTAGAGTATAAATCTACAGTACAGACAGTTTTGACACTTGACACTTTATCAATATGGCGGTCTGTGGATAAAGGTTGAGGACCACTGCTGTTTACTATAATAATATACTGTAGCACTACAAAAAGGGCCACTACTTTTACGTTTGATACTTTAAATATTATTTATTTCTGGTTTCATTCTTTTAAGGTAAGATTAGACCAAAAATGTGTTAAAATGTCAGTTGGAAGTCAGATTGTCTCTACAGATGCTCACTGTCAGGTCCTCTTCACTGAACATTAGATATTTCTCTTAATGCAGTTTGCTTTATTCACAGATATTACCTGTGGCCCATACCAAGATGGAAGATAATGAGGTAATGTTTGACAGTAGTAATAGCTGTGTAATAACACAATGATGTCTTTATTGAATGAAGGATATTCAGTAGTGACATGGTGATACTGTTGGGTTAAGGTCACTGTAACTTCACTATTGAGTGCACCGGATATACTACAAATCTGTGCAGTCTGTAAATGTTTGTTGTTGAAAATAAATGTATATGTTTGTCTGTCTTGCAGGAGTTGAGGGAGAGTGTTCAACTTCTGCTGACAACAAAGATTGCTGTTTACTTAATGACATTCCTGATTGTGACTGTAGCATGGGCTGCTCATATCAGGTGAGTTATTATTATTATTAGCAGCAGTAGTAAGAGTAACAGCAGCAGTAGTTGTGGTTGTGGTATATCTAAGGTTTATTATTATACATTTTTTGTGTTTCACAGGTTATTTCAAGTGATTGTACGAATTGATGATTGCCTTGCACTGCTAAACCTCGTAAGTACAGTATCGCTGAGGCCATCAGTGCTTGATTGTGTTTATTGAAGTTTGTCCACAAGTAATAATCACTTTGACTATCTTGGATATTTCAGTGAGGAGAATTAGTCTGCAAGTTAGCCTCTCAAAAGCAAGCTAATGTGACTGTATGTCTAGATGTATATTCTTGTTATGGATCACATGACATGTATTTCTAGTTTGTTGAAATGTTATTTTTTATGGCATCAGTTTTAATAAACACAGCTGGACACATTGTCCCTGACATTTCTTGTCCTTTTATGATCTGATTTACAGTTTAATTAGCTTCACAAAGGCTTGAGGTTGAATTTCTGTGACGTGCACATGAACTCAGAGTCCAAAAATAAATCAGTGCATGTTGGTAACTGGTTTTATAGACAAATAATGAATACTTCCATACTGAAAGAAAAAAGTAATTTCTCTGGTGAGCTGTTTCCTTCTTTCTAATGTGAAGTTCTGCTTTCGGTTCTATTTCAGGCCTGCATGATGCTGATAACCTTTCTGCCGTACACAGTGAGTATGAGTCTCTGCGGTGCTAATCAGCAGCTGAATAAATCACACAGTTTGCTGCACAAATAAATGTTAAGTTGACTGATTCATTCGTGCTCTCTAACGTACGGTGTGCCTTATCTGCGCAGTTCTCTCTGATGGCGACCTTCCCTACGAACCTCCTCGGGATTTTACTCTTCTGTGGTTGTGTGATGGTGATGGGCGTCATTCAGGTGTTTATGTTAAAGTGTTTTTATTCCAGTCCTTTTGGAGAATTCATACATAAATCCTCTCAAACCTCAAAAAAAAAAAAAAAATGTTGTTCTTGCTTTTGTTTTTTCTAGTGGAACGACCTCTTATTTACGTCTTACTTATTTCCATCCTGTGTAATCACATACATCATAATCCTTTGTGTTGTTTTTTCGCAGTCGGTGATTGTGCTGTACGCCTTCAGCCGTCCCTTCCTGCTGAACGAACAGATCCAGATATCAGAGAACCAAACCTTCTACAAACACCACATCCTCAAAGTCATCATGCGGGTTCCCCTCATGTGCATGTTCGCCAGCATCTTCTCCCTCATCTTCTTACAGCTGGTAGGTGGCGTTTATTTTCTTCAGCTGTGTGAAGAGGCTTCATTTGATCATCAGTAGTACTAATGATTGTTTTATTATAGATTCACATACTAATTAGTTCTGTGAGTAATCATTAAATGTATAAATCTCCCTGGAGCCCAAAGTCGTCACACAACAGTCTAAAAAGCTAATTTATTGTCCAACATCTTCACATTTGAGAAGCTGGGACAAACAAATGTTTGGGATCTTTGCTTGATTATTTACAATAAATAGATTGAATAGATGCATCAATTTTCTGTCAGTTGATTGATTGAATGTGTAATTTCAGCACAAGTCTTTCACTCACTTCAAAGTTTACGTTACCTCCGAACTGCTGATGCTGTAAATCTCTTCTTCGCAGTGACATTTTCACTTTGTCTTTCAGTCTTACGTGCTGTTGGCGATTGTTATCTTCCTGCCGTACATCTCCCAGTCTTTGAAGTGGTGTCGCAGCAAAGCAATTGGTAAGCTAAGAGTTAGGGGAAACATATCAAATATGTGCTGACCTCTGGTCAGAAATACTCTGGGTCTGGATGTAGATTTATTTCAGAATGTGTCACGTGCTTCACCTTTTTAAGACTTAACCAAATGTCGTCCACTTCAGGTCAGGTGGAGGAGACTCCAGACTCCATGTTGTTTTACACTTACCTGCCCAACGAGCCGCTCAGCAAGGACCGCGTGGAGGCTTTTAGTGATGGAGTTTATGCAATCGTAGCAACGCTTCTCATCCTGGACATATGGTTTGTTTCACTTTGTTTCCTTGAATGGGTAAACATAGGACAAAAACATGTTTCTTTATACACAAAGCATACATTGTATACAAGATAGATGATCAGATAAATGTTAGATAGAATCTTACGGATCATATGAACTCTATACACATATTGAATTTACTGTATTTATGTAGCAGCTATACCTGCATATTACTTCTTGGCTAGTGGCCTTTTTTTTGCAACAGTGCCATTGTTCTGACGGGCCATTATTCTAAAACGTAATAGTCGGAAAAATGCCCCATTATTCGTCCAACAGCCCGTTATTCTGGAGGCCTGTTGTTCCAGATATACACATGTTGGTATCACCAACTTACGTATCTAACTTAAAGGCACACTATGCAAGATTTTTACCTTAATATAACAGCTTCAAAGTCATTTTGATGGTAAACGAACTCGTAGTATAGCGAATCAATCATCAAGAATCACAAATTGCTTTACGGCGCGATGTCACATACATCAGCGACATAAGAAGCAGCCTCAATGGAAGACACTAGCAGGCATTCACTCAGACGTTACCTGGTCAGTAGACATCTTTGGAGTCTATCTTTGCCTGTTCAATGTCCGATGCTTCCATCCTACTGAACATGTACCGGTATACAGGGGGGAGGGGATCAGGCCGTGAGTGCAGAGACGCAGAGCCGTATATAGAGACGGCTCTGGTGAGTGGTATTTACGACACTTAACGTTAAATACAAGTACTCCGCAGCGACTCTAGGGGTAGCTGTTTGACAAAACCGGAAAACTGCATAGTATGCCTTTAACTGACACACTTATTTTACCCCAAACCATGATCTTTTCTAAAACCAAACCAAATAGTTTTGATGCCTCTTCAAAGCTGGTTGGAACTCTGTAGCTACTTGCTGAAAACAACCTTCTCAGTTTTGTCTCTTAACTTTTATCCTCTCTGGTTCCTTCATTTAGTGAGGACAACGTTCCAGACCCCATTGTCGTGCAGAAGCAGTTTGGTGGCAGCCTGATAGCAGCTCTGCAGGTCTACGGCCCAGAGTACCTTGCCTACTTTGGTTCCTTCGTCACCGTTGGCCTTCTGTGGTTTGTGCACCACTCGCTCTTCCTCCATGTGACCAAGGCCACGCGCTTTATGGGCCTGCTGAACACCTTCTCACTGGCGTTTGTCGGAGGTTTGCCTTTAGCCTACCAGCTAACTCACGAATTCCCACACAACTCTCGCAACGAACTGGAAGCCATTCAGATTAGCTGCGTGATCATATTCTTCGCAGGAATATTTCAGCTCGCTATTTGGGTGGTTGCTCTTTACAATGAACATGAAACTCTGCACCCTTATGTACGTTATGGCGGACGCGAGCACGTGTTCATGCTAGCTAAGCTAGCTTTGTACCCCTGTGTAGCTCTGGGGACTTTTTTCCTCACATGTATTTTGAGTAAATTTAGCGCCCAAATTTTCCACCTGATGGAGATTACGGTGCCTTTCGCTTTTCTTGTGTTGAGGCTGTTGGTGCGCGTTGGGCTAGCTTTGCTACGGCTAATTTTCTGTCCTGATAGGCCCGACCCGAGGTCTATTGTAGAAGAGGAAGATGAGACAAGAGTGCCATTCAACGCTTTAGTCACCTAGCTAGCTTGAAGGGCCACAGAAAATGAAGCTATCTGACAGAAGAGTGAGGCATTATAGCGTAAATGCTTGGTCTCTGAAAGAGTTACTGTAAGGGTTTGAATTGGGAACCACGTGAAGAAGATTGTTCTCTTTTCAGAGTTTAAACTGGTTCCATTCTTGAATCAGTGCAAATGGGATTAGATGTGACCTGTTGAAGGCGAAGTATGGAAGTCGTAGAGATTTAGAAAACTCTCAGTGGACCAGAATAGTAAAGGATACTGACAGCCAAAGCCTATCTATTCATTTAATTGTTAACCTGAAGAATATACTCATGCTACTTTTGATTAGTGAATAATCAACAATCATCCTTGAGCGCTTAAAAGCCAAAGTTTTACCACAGTAAGGTTTCCCACTTTGATTTTATCGCTCACTTCGTCCTGAAGTAGCAAAAGGTCAAACATGAAAATGGCTATTTTCTGTCTTCAGGGATGAAATTATGTAAACTAGTTCATGACTTAGCTGATTATTCACTTCAACCTAAATGAGTTAAACAGACAAAACAGGTTTTTAGAATTATTTTTCAGTTGCTGTGCCAAATTCTGTAAGATAACCTATCCGTCCAACTTCTATGGTTTTAATTCTGCCTTAACTCACTATTTCTTTTACACAGAGATTTTGAAGTATGTCCAGATGCATTCAGTTTCATAAATGAGAGCTGATGGCTGAAGTATTTGAATACTTTGTGTAGGACAAGGGAAGTTTTGTTTTCTCCTTTCAGACTTTTGCCCCAATATAAATGTTGGAGTTGTTAGCAAACAAGCATGGGTTTAAGTCGGAAATGTCCAGCACTTTAAACACTGAACGTAGTACTGAACGGGTACGCCCATTCAATTTCTAATTGCACTAGTTTGAAATATTTTTTATTTTATTTTTTTATTTGTGTAATGCCCACTTGAATGTAATATCACCTTTTCAAATCTGTCAAACTGCTGTTTTAGTTCTACTATTATCTTTGAATAGAAAGACTGCGCACTTACATGACCCCTAAAGCTGTATTGTGCATGGCTGGCTTTAGATTCAGTGATAATGATTTCAGGTTTTCAAGTAATGTCAACCCAATGTTATTATTATATTATATTACCATCAGTTTAAATTATTGTTCTGGTTTTATCGAGATGTTCATAAAACTGGGTATAGTACATTTCTCCAGATGGGGTCACTGTTGTTCTGTTAAATAGTCCTGAGATACTGAAGCCATTTTCATTGCTGTAATGATGATGTGCTCTGCCATGATGTATAATTATGTGTTTGATACTGACTCAAAGGGAACTGAAATCTGAGACGCACTTTAATGGGAACCGGTCAGGTAATGGAGAAGGTTTAGATTTATATCAACAAAGCACTGAGTTGAAAGAATGACAACAAAAATACTGTTCATGTACCATGATTGGTTGGAGACGTCACGTCATATTTCTGGCTTCTTTTGTTTTGTTTGTCTTGTTTTAAGTCTGTTAAGGATGACTTAGCAGCAGCTCCCACCATACAAGCCATATGTTTTCTGAGTATTTGTATCTAATGATCTGTTGGTTTATTAAGATGGGAGCACTGTAATATCTGTGACTTCATGGAGGAATAAATACCTGTTTTTCACCTAATATACACAACTGTATTTGTATATTTTTCAAGTTACGGTAAAATTTTCTGTTGTTGTCATTCCTTAAACATGGTGGCTTTGTTTCTTGAGGCCAGATATTGTATCCCTCTCCAAACATTCCCCTCCGTATACTCTCTTTGACAGATTCTCAATGCTTAGGTGTTATCTGTTTGTAATAACTACACGAGTGCAAACAATGCATCTGCTCTGTCACACTGTGAGAAATCTTTTTGTTTTATGTCAAATCACAAACTGTCAAGCTTTGTTTTGTGAGTAAAGCTGAAGTTGTCACAAATTCTCTGTCCTGTCATTATTGGAGTACATGGAACATAATCAACACCATGTAAGACATTTTAAAGAAAAAAAACTTTATTCACCTCCATACAGTAAACATCTTCACAATATCCCTAACAAGATATCAATATGTGGTTCATACATTACTTTGTATTGCCCCTATATTAACAGCATTCTTCCTCAGTATCATTTTTAATCTTATCCACTCCAAAAGCTATAGATTTTCATTAGAAAACATGTCGGCTCAAAGCAAATTACACAAAATATACACAAAATGATAAATTAAAAAGACAAGCAACCAAACATCTGCAGTGCGTCATTACCATTTGGCTACTAAAAACTACCTGTTTCTGTCCTACCTTTACTTTTGTGTACCTCAAGTGTTTTACCTTCACAACTTGAATAAAAATATAAATTAGTCCACACAACAGCTTAAATCTAATTCCAACTACATCTGTAAAACTATGGAGTCTCGAGTGTGCCAATTGAATAATACACTTAATTGTAATAATTCATGTATAAAGTAACTACATTAACTTATGATTGATAATGTTCATAAAAACACTTCTTTGCCCATTATTATTATTATTGTGTTTTAAGACAGATGTACAAAATACTGTACTATTTTAAGAATTAAAATTTGATTAATTGTTTTTCGGACATTTTTCACATTTTACTTTTTTTATTATTCCAGTGGCGCACACCACACTCCTATATAAAACAGCTTTAAAAACATCTAAATCATTTGACTGTCAGCTGTTTGTGTTGATTTTTGGTCAGATTGCTTTAGTCTGAACACTGCCCACCTGTCAACATGCTTTGCTTGTTCTTGCTCAGTATGTAAGTTGGACAGTGATGGTTGAATACAGAAACGCCTGTAAAGCAGTAGTGTATGTTTAACCAGAGACAGGGTTTAGTCATAGATTTATACAGTACAATACAGCTGGTCCCAAAAATTCACCCATCGCCCCCATTCACTTCAAATGGGGAAAACACGCTAAAATGCACGTCTATGAAGAAAACATGCACAGAACAAACCGGACAAATAAATTATAACATCCTCGTCGTCCAACAACTTAAGGAAGTGAACAGTGACACATTGCACAGGCCACAGATTCAAATGTTAGTACTCCAGTCTGCGTCCCAGTTCCAAACTCCTCGGTTTTTCATTTTTCAGAACAAAGAGAGGATGTCGGAATAGTAAGGAGACAGTTTGGACTTAGGCCCTGGAGCTTTACAATAACGGAAGGAAATCAGTGTTAATCAGACAGTGCTTTGGTAAACATTTCTCTCTGAAAAGATCTGGTTTCAATCAGAGA